CAAAGTTGCGTCTGTACCAGTCTCTGCATTGAGTTTCAGAAAGAGAAGAGAAAAGTGCATGTAAGCTTGACACCCAGGGCTGATGACAGACACCGGTAGACACCCATGCCGGTGAGTGACACCCAGTGTGGATGACTGACATCAAGTACTGACAGCTGACACCCAGTGATGACTAACAACCCAGGACTAATGGCCTGGTGAATACAGACACCCAAGACTGAGGGCTTACACTCAGTGATGTCAGAGAACTGACACTCAAGTGATGTCAGAGGCTGACAGTGATGTCAGGGGGCCGACACTCGGTGATGTCAGGGAGCCGACCCCCATTGATGTCAGAGGGCTGACAGTGATGTCAGGGAGCCGACACTCGGTGATGTCAGAGGGCTGACAGTGATGTCAGGGTGATGTGATGTCAGAGGGCTGACACTCGGTGATGTCAGAGGGCTGACACTCGGTGATGTCAGAGGATCGACACCCAGTGATACTACTTCCTCCTGCCGACTCTCGCCCACCGTCTTCACTGCCAGGACTCTCTGCAGTTCTGCCAGGTTTCCATGAAGACTTGAAAGGATGCCAAGAAGGCTGGGCCCTGCATCGAGTAACGTCCGTTCTGGGTCCACGAGGGTGAGTGGTGTCCTGAGCAGACAGGGACCCAGGCTCTTTGTCGGCACCTCATTTGCATCAGAAGTGTCAAAAGCACTCCACAGAGAGGCTAATGCACCCTGACGCCAAAGCCCAAAGCCCCCACTCCTTTCCCTGGACCTCCTGGCCTTCCGGTGACTTCCACTCCAGAGCCTCTCACACCATGCAGTGGAGTTCACACGGTCTTACTGCCTGTGATGGGTCCTGGGGAAACGCCAGTGGTGTGAAGGGCCTAGTGTTCAAAACGGCTTCCTAGCCACTGACGGTGTGAAAGGGTGAGAATATGCTGTGTGTTAGCCTGTCCACAGGGGAGTGGCTAGTCTCACCACTGAAATGAGTGGATCCAACAGCGGAGTGGAGAACCTGACCACCAGCAAAGAAAAAGCAAGAGACTGCAACGTGTGCTTCAGGACAGAGGTTCATGACCAGCCAGGCCAGGGCCTCCAGGAGCTGCAGCAGCTGGAGCAGCCGCAGTGGGGAAACGCAGAGCTGACGTGAGCCGAGGTGGACCTCGGGACTCCCGCTCCAGGGACCCAGAACTAGGAACCTTTGAAGAAGATTGATGGACAACTAGGGTGGAGGTGAGGGGGGAAGAGCCACACTGGCAGTAGTCCTTTAACTTTGTTAACATTGGCCCAAAGCCGTGAGCTCAAGGCTGAGGCGCCTGGGAGCACAGTTTAGAAGCTGCCCTGACTCTATAGCTGTAATCTGCTACTAACCTGAATAAGCCTTTTGACTTCCCGGACATAAAACTCAACATCAAGAAAACAAAGATTTTCACCATGGGCTGATTGGCTGCATCAAAATTGATGATAAAGAGATTGAGATAGTTCTCAGTTTCAGTTTGCTTGGCTTCACAATCAACACTCTTGGTACTAGCAGGCAGGAAAGCAAAAGACAAATTACACTGGGAAAGTCTGCTGTCAGGGACCTCTCCAGAGTACTGAAGAGCAACGATGTCAGTCTAGAGACTAAGGTGTGCCAGATCCAGGCCATGGTTTTCCCAATCACTTGCTATGCATCAGAGAGATGGACAATGACTAGGAATGACAGAAGGAGAACTGATGCCTTTGAGCTGTGGTGTTGAATAAGAGTGTTGACTACACCATGGACTGCTAAGAGAGCAAACAGGTTCGTCCTGATGAGGGTGAAACCAGGCTGCTCCTTGGAGGCAAAATTCTGAAGCTTCGTCTGACAGACTTTGGACATGTTACAAGGAAGGATAAGTCCTTGGAGAGGGACGTCATGCTTGGGAGAGTGGAGGGACAGTGCTAGAGAGGAAGACCCTGGATGAGATAGACTGAAGTGTGTCACAGACAACGAGGCTGGCTCAGGATAGAGCAGGGTTCAGGGTCACTATGAGTCACAGGGACTCAAGGGCACTTAACAACAACGTGGTTCTATGTGGTGTATGAGTTAACGCAATGGATCCTGGATCCAGTTAAGCAGTAAGGTTAGTGTTGTGGTGAATAGAAAGAGGTGTGGGTGCGTGGGGACATTTCTGACCTCGGGAGAACTGGTTTTGTGTTGCTGATGTTATTGATAAGGACAGTTCCCCTTTGTGGAGTTGGTGAAGGTCAGACAGGAAGTCCCCATGTGGCCTTTGTTCTTTCTACAATGCCCAAGCTCTCAAACCCATCCCACTGCCTCAGCTTTTGAATGAGTAGGGAGAACTGGGAGATGGCCAAAGCCGAGCGTTCACATTCCAGACTGGACAGGGAGCAAGTCCCCGGGCTTCTCAGCCCTGTGAGCTCACAACCAGATGTGGGGTGTCCACTCTGGTGGACTTGGGATGGATGAAGGGCACAAACAAGAAGTCAAACGTGTGTGTTCTGCAGCCTTGGTATGCTGGAGAGGTCCATCCATTCATGGGATGCTGAAGGAGAAGTGGTGCCCTGTTCCCTACAGGATGCATGTTGCTAGGTCCTGATGGAAAAGTCGGATGGATGCCCCTTCTCCAGACAGCTCGGCTCCAGCGGAGAACGTCTCTGTTCAACACGCCAAGGCTTCAAAGAGGTGGAAGGGGCTCACTGGAGGAGCTCAGAACCCCATCACCTTCCACCCCAGGTGAGAGTGCCCCTCCTCATCCCAAATGCAGCACAAACCAAGTTCAAACCAAGCGAGTTAAAGCCTGCGCAGAAATCCAAAGCCAAGAGACACTGAAGCAGAACCTGACTGACTGAACAGCCCAGCTCACGCAGAGCAATCGGGAATGGTGCTGCGGACAGAATCCAGAAGCTTCACGATGAGTCTCTACAGCAGGCACGCACAACTTTCACGGCTTTGTTCTGGAAAAGTCTTGTACACACACAGTGTCACAACAGATTCTGACAACCTTCCACAATGACGTGCTCATTAGGGCCCCACACCAGCCTCAGCCAGCTTGGCTCTTCTGTTCTCATAAACAAACAGCACAATTTTGACCATTCAGCACTTCAGGTGGACGGTACAGGGATGTCAACTATGCTCATCACGATGTTGGCCATCACAATCGCTGCTGTTAAGGTTTAAATCAAGTCCCAGCCTCACATGGTCTCACCCACCAGCACACACATCAGCAGGTCACAGCAGGGGAAGAAAGAACAAGATCGTTACTGCATCTGCTAAAATGAACAACTGAGTAATGGGACCTCATACAGCCGTGTTTAATTTCTGACCACGGGGGTCATTTCCCACACAGGTATGTGCATCACCTGGGCCTCAGGAGGCCTGATGGGATTAACACTCAGCTCCTCCTGGCAGGGACTGTCCCTAGGTGGTGCTGTGCACTCCTGAGTGGCCATGCACAGGGACAGTGTGCATCACCAGCTCCCACTGGCTTTTCTGTGGCCCGGAAGCCTGGGCGTCTGCCTGGATCACTGTTTCCTCCGAAGCTGGTCCTAACAGCAGCCTCTTCCTGAACTTGCTCCCTCATTTGGGGACCTGAAGACCTGTTGACACTGGAAAGGCGGAAGGAGCCCATTCTTCCACGCTTCTCTTTGGTTTGTCAACTTTCAAAAGCAAAAGACTAATGTCCTAGCAGTGAAGTCCCTGGGGTGCAAACAGCACTATGCAGCTGCTAAACAAAAGGTGGTGGTTGTTATGTGCCATCGAGTAGCTTGCAACTCACAGCGACCCTCTGTACAACAACCTTAACCCGGCTCTATCCTGTGCCAATCGCACCGTCTCCAGCACACTTATTCCCATCACCCCAGTCCATCTCAAGGGTCTTCCTCTCCTGCACTGTCCCTCCACCCTCCCAAGCATGACATCCCTCTCCAAGGACTGGTCCCTCCTTACATGTCCAAAGTATGTGAGACGAAGCTTCAGAATCTTTGCCTCCAAGAAGCAGCCTGTCTCACCCTCTCTAGGACAAACCTGTTTGTTCTCCTAGCTAACCATGGTATATTCAACACTCTTCTCCAGCACCACAGCTCAAAGGCATCAATTATCCTTCTATCATCCCTAGTCATTGTCCATCTCTCTGCTGCACAGCAAGTAACTGCAAAGACCATGGTCTGAATCAAGTGCAACTCGGTCTCCAAACTAACATCGTTGCTCTTCAGTACTTTGGGGAGGCCTCTGACAGCAGACTTTACCAATGCAATACGTCTTTTAATTTCCCGGCTGCTGGTACCAAGAGTGTTGACTGTGGAGCCAAGCAAACTGAAGCTGTGAACAATCTCAATCTCCTCACCATCTATCATGATGCTGCCAATCAGCCCAGTGGTGAGAATATTTGTTTTCTTGATATTGGGCTTCAATCCATTCTGAAGGCTGCAGTCCTTGACCTTCTGCAACAACCAAAAGGTGGAGGTGGAAAAGAGGCCTTAAAAGCTACTTCTGAAAGACCAGCCATTGGACACTATGGAGCTGTCTCCTCTGACCCCAGGGCCACACAGCGGTAACTGGCTTCGACTGGTTTACCGTTGTAATCTCCAGGAGGCCTGTGAGTGCTGTCTGCTGGCATCATTACGACCTCAAGGACGCTAGTATCCTCAGCCACTTCCATCCATGGTAACCGCAGGACTACCTGAGGCTCCAGGTGTTCCAGCGACGGCCTGTGACAGCCTATGTGAGGCCATGGTGTTTCCCACACATTGTCTGACATGACCCCACCTGCCCCATGCCTTCAGGCCAGAGATGCTGCGCACAGGCTTGGGCTCTGAATCGGCCACTCCACGAGGAGCCATGGATCAGTTTGATGGGGTGATGCTTACAGACCACTGTCCAGGCACAGGGGCTGCTAACTGGCCCTAGTGACCATCCAAAAGAAGTGGAACCTGTACCTGTGCGGATGGAGTCAGAGCATGTCCGCCTCTGACACAGAATGAATGCTGTTTACCCCATCTGGATGTGAAGGTTTGGTTTTTACCTACCTGTTGTAATACATGTGCTTCTGGAAATTCTTACTTAAAAATTCCTTGTAGAAGTCTGCCATTTCCTCTGCATGCAGCGTTTGACCTGAAAGGCAATTTCAGGGGGAAAATTGAGATCTGAGGGGAAGGAGTTCATGGGAAACCAACAGAGCTACTGAAGGAGTTGTGTGGGCAACACGGACGGGATCTACAGGAAATCAACTGCATTTCTGTATCCCTGCAATGTACAACCCAAAAAGGGAATGAAGAACACAATTCCACTTCCAAAGCATCAAAAGGAACAAAAGTCTTGGGAACAAACTTAGAGTAGGAAGTCTCAGACCTGCACCTGAAGCTCAGTGAAGCAAGCCAGTAACAGAAGGACAAATAATGTGTAAGTCCACGAGCCTGACACAGAAGAACTGGATGGTGTCTGGTGACCACTACAGACTCTGAAACAGCAGATCCCAGTAGAAGGTCCTAGACAGAGTGGCGAAAAACATGGGCCACAATGAAAAACCCAAGAATGGCCAGGCTTCCTGATCTATAGACATGAGTGGGAATCCAGAGACGGAAGCTCTGAGGAAACTTTCAAACTCAAATCAAAACCCATCCCCATGGCCCAGCCTGCAGCCAAGCAACAGACACCAGGGAACACGACAGCCCCTAGAGCAGCCAAGGACCCGCAACTAAAAGGCAGCATGTGCCAGGGGTAAGCTCAGAAGACAAGAAGGGTGAGGAGAGGAAGAGGATGAGAAACAAGAGCCCCAGGTGGGAGTGGGAAGACGGATCCCAGGCTGGGTACTCTAACTGTCCTAAAACAAAACATGTGTGAATGCTGAATGGAAAAGCCACCTCCTTAGTAAACTTCCACTCCAATTCCTCATGCGCATGCCGTGCAACAGGACTGACTGAAGAGGGAAGAGAAAGACCTCAGCAGACAGAAAGGCTCCAAGCACTTGGCCCCCACGAACGTAACAGTGGTAATACAGAACACCAAGTCGGCTTGCACATACAGCACACTCAGTACCAAAATCTCAGCTGGATTTCTTTGCACAAGTTAACAACTGATTGTAACAGTCACACAGAAATGCAAGGGACTCCAAATAACTAAAACTATCTTGAAAAAGAGCAAGGTTGAAGGAACCATATTTTGCTATTTTAAAACTTACTACAAAGCAACAATGATTAAGAGTGTGTGGTACTGGCACACAGACAGATATAAAGGTCAGTGGATTAGAACCGAGCCCAGGATCTCCCAGGACATGCATGATGGGCACGGGGCCTGACAATGCCGTGGGGAAAGGGTGTGAACAGCAAATGGTGTGAGTAACTGGACCCACCAGTTTCCTGCCTCAAACCATTCACAAATCGACTTCATACTGCTGGAGGACCTAAACGACACAACTACCAGAGAAACACAGGTGCCCATCTTCACGACCTCGGCTTCCTAGCAATGCTCAGACAAGGAACTAAAGCACAAGCAAACAAAGGAAAAGTAGAAAAAGTGAACTTCATCAAAAAGAGAAGCATCTGTGCTGCATCATCAAAGCCCACAAAACGGGAGAAACACTTGCCAAGCACATAACCAAGGAAGGCCTCCACAGTACGCACTTCTTATAGTGGTGAAAAATGGGAAAGGGATCTGAATATAGACCTTTCTCCAAAGAAGATCTACAAATGGTCAAGTCGTTGTTGTTGTTGTTAGGTTTTATCAAGTCGCGTACGACAATTACAGCTTGCTCAGCTCCACAATCACACCCTTAACACCAGTAGTCAGAAAGTCAAAAGACTAATTGCATTGGGAAGATCTGCTGTCAGGGAGCTCTCCAGAGTGCTGAAAAGCAACAGCATCAGTCTAGAGACTAAGCTGCACTTAATCCAGGCCACGGCCTTTGCAATTACTTGCGGTGCATCAGAGAGCTGGACAATGACTAAGGAGGACAGGAGATTGATGCCTTCAAGTTGTGATGCTGGAGAAAAGTCCTGAACATACCATGGACCACCAAGAAAGCAAATCAGTCTGTCTTTGAGAGGGTGAAACCTAGCTTCTCCTTGGAGGCTAGGATTTTAAAGCTCTGTCTCACATGCTTTGGGCACATGGCCAGGAGAGGCCAGTTTTTGGAGAAGGACATCATGCTCAGAAGGGTGGAGGGACAGGGCAGGAGAGGAAGACCCAAGATGAGATGGACTGAGACAGTGACTTGGGCAATTGATACAGTGACTTGATATTTCAGAATTAGGGAAACTGGCTCAGGACTGGTCACTATGGGTCACAGGTGACTCGAGAGCACATAACAGCAACAACAACATAGTGATCCTAAGAACAACAGATCTGAATGAAGCCTGTCCCATTTTCACATTTTCTGACCCACTGTGGCAGTCACTATGTCAATAAACCTGGTCAAGAGTCTTCCTCTCCTTCATCAACCCTCTGCCTTTCCAAGCATCATGCCCCTCTCCAAGGAATAGACCCTCCTAGCAACATGCCTTAAGTATGTCAGGCAGGCACATCATCTTTGCCTCCAAAGGACATTCTGGTTTACTTTCTCCAAGACATATTTGTTTGTTCTTCTGGTAGTCTGTGGATGTACAGTGCTCTTCCCAACACCACAGATGAAAGGAAACAGTTTTTATGTCATCATTCATTATCCAGTTCAGATGCATAGCAAGTGATCGGAGGACCATGGCCTGAATCAGACACACCTTAGTCCTCAAATTGATATCATTATTCCTCAATAATTTGGGCAGGTCCCTGACTGCAGACTTTCCCAGTGCAATACATCTCCTGATTTCCTGACTGCTGGTACCGAGAGTGTTGACTGTGAATCCAAGTAAGATGAAGTTGACAGTTTCAATCTTTTCCCCACCTACTATGATGTTGCCTATCAGTTTGGTGGTAAGAATTTTTGTTTTCTTTCTGTAGAGATGCAATCCATATTAAAGGCTGTATACTTTGATCTTCTGCAACAAGTGCTTCAAGACCTCCTCACTTTCAGTAAGAAAGGTTGTGTCATCTGCATAACACAGGTTACTGATGAGTATTCCTCCGATCTTGACGCCACATTCTTTTTTATATAGTCCAGCTTTTTGAATAACTTGCTCAGCATACAGATTGAATAGGCATGGAGAAAGAACACCACTTTGACACACTCTGGCACATAATAACAACAACAGTATTCCCTTGCTCTGCTTGCACAACAGCCTCACTGTCTAGGTATAGGTTTTGCATAAGCACAATTAAATGCTCTGGGATTCCCTTTCTTCTCAATGTTTGGAGGCTCATGTGTGAAGCAGCTGGATTCTGGAGGTAGGTTCCCTTGTTTTAGTTGAGAGTCAGGTGTAAACTGTTTGGGCTTAATTTTTTTTATTTTGTTCACAATCAGGTGTGAGCTGATTGGATTTACTGGATTTAGCTAACAACGAGCTGTGGGCGGGAGGCCTCTTGTTTAAGTCAATCAGGACCTAGTGGGCAGGCCTTTGTATTTAAAAGTCGGTTGGGCCAAAGGGCCGCTGTTGATTTTGTTTGGGAATAACATTCTTCTAAGTGGTACAGCACTGGTCTGTCAGTTTGCTGTACTATAGTAACTTGGGATTGCTGTGATGCTGAATGTTCTGGTGTATCAAATGTCATAATGGTTACCCATGGTGGGCAGTGTTTGGTGGAGGTCCAAGATTAAGACAGACTTGGAAGCAGGATTGGCATCCACCTCCTAAACAACATGTCTTTGGAAACTCTATCAACATTAGAGAAACAATGATAGTTATAAAATAGGGTTCCGATCTTTTGTTCATAGGGTTGCTATGAGTCATACTCGGCTCAACAGGACTTAACAACTCAATATTAGTCATAACTTGTTATGATCCACACAGCCAAAAATGCCTCTGCACAGTCAATAAAGCATAAGCAGACATTCTTTGGGTATTCTTCACTTTGTCAGGATCCATGTGACGTCAGTAATGATAATCCGCCTGCCACAGCCTCTTCGAGATCCTGACTGAACTTCTGACCATTCCCTTTCTATGTACTGTTCTAGCCACTTTCTAATGACCTGTAGTATTTTCCTTCCATGCGATATTAATGATATTGTTTGATAGTTTCCACATTCTGTTGGATCACCTTTCTTAGAAATGGGAACAAATATGGACCTCTTCCAATCCGTTGCTCAGACAGCTGTTCTCCCAATTTCCTGGCATAGACTGGTGAGAGCATCTAGGGCTGCATGTGTTAAACAATTCAACTGCTATCCCATTGATTCCTGGAACCTTATTTTTTTGCCAATGTTTTCAGTTCGGCTTCAACTTCCTCCTTTATTAGTATTGGCTCCTGCTTACATTCCTGAAATTTTTCAGTGTCAGTCGGTTCTTTTTGGTGTAACAATTCTGTGTATTCTCTCCATCTTCTCTTGATGCTTCCTGGGTCATTTAATATGCTGCCAACAGCAACTTTCAATTCTGCAAGTTGAGTCTTCCCTTTCTTTTCTGCAATTCCAGCTCTCTGTACATTCCACTGTAATACTTGGCTTTATCTTCTTGAGCTGCCCTTTGAAATCTTCTGTTCACCTCTTTTACCAAATGCTGCAGTCTGAAATTGACCAAACATGCAATTAAGATGTGTTAATGATAACTGGTGGCTGTAATGCAAAAGTTGGAAACAGTGAAGAAGGAATAGTAGTTGGAAAATAGAGGCTTGCAATAATAGCAGTAAAACTGAAAATAGGATGATAAAATTTTGTATTTTCAATGATTTATTTACTGCTAATACCTTTCTTAAAAGACACAAATGGCGACTTTACACATGGACCTCACTTGATGGGCTGCATAGGAATCAGACTGACTACATCTGTGGAAGGAACATCGAAGAAGTTCAATATTAGCAGTTTAACCCAGGCCAGGGGTGGACTATGGGTCAGATCATAAATTACTCATGTGCAAGTTCTAATTGAGGGCAGAAGAAAAGTTAAACAAGTCCATGACAACTAAAATATGATCTTGAATCTACTCCATCTGAATTTCAAGATCATCTTTGGAATAAGTTTGAGGCATTGAACACGCAAGATCAAAGACCGATGAGTTGATATCATCTATGAGGAAATCAAGAGGTCATTACAAAGGCAGGAGAAAGAAAAAACCAGAACAGATGTCAGAAAAGACTGAAAATTGCACTAGAGCACCGAGAAGCTAAACAACTGGAAAACCTGCCGAATGGTCAAGAAGCACAGGAAAAGACACCAGTGTGGAAATGGAAACCAAAACAAGGAGAGCCCACTTCCCACCCACGAGCTGGCTGGAATGAGATGGACCAGGGCAAGGGGGGAGTGGGCATGGGGGCAGAGGCGCGCCCTGGACAACAGGGTCAAGCTCAGGCACCTGGCCGACAGCGAGGCAGTCCTCAGGAAGCCGGACACTTACCCAGACCCCGAGCCATGAATCCAAGAAAATGGAAAACACGTCAACAGAATCTGTACACAACCGCTCACACCAGCTTTATTTATACAGTCAAGCAGAAACAACTCCAATGTTCGCCCACAATGAACAATAACACAACGCGGTCCCCCAAATGGCAGCTGCCGTTCATCCACGGCCAAATGGGACAGCTTGCTGACAGCCACAACAATGCGCAGAACCTCGAAAACCGTTAAGTGGGCAAGCCTGGTCACAGCATGAATAAGTTTGAGGCATTGGACACCAAAGATCAAAGACCGGATGAGTTGATATCATCTATGAGGAAATCAAAAGTCATTACAAAGGCAGGAGAAAGAAAAAAACAGAGCAGATGTCAGAAAAGACTGAAAATTGTACTAGAGCACCAAGAAGCTAAACAAATGGAAAACCTGCCGAATGGTCAGGAAGCACAGGAAAAGACACCAGTGTGGGCTGCTGGTAGAGGAGGGGGATGGACAACAGTTGCTAATCAACCAGGTTTCCCTTTGAGAGGACAAGAGTGTTCTGGAATCAGGTTGAGTTGGTGGTGCACAACTTTGTGAACATACTAAAAAATCCCACTAAGCTAACAGCACACTTTTATTTATTTTTTTTTTATTGTATTATTTTTTATGTGTACCGTCAAATCAGACCTGACTGGTATGGGAGGAGACTGTCCTTCCTTCCACAGCAGAGCACCTGGTGGATTTGAACTGCGTACCTCTCGGATTACAGTGTAACATCTTGCCACTAGACCACCAGAGCTCCCTTACACTATTTTGTTGTTATAATCCTTCTTTAGGGTGGGGTGTGTGTGTGTGTGATTTGAAGGAAAGTTTACAAAACAGATTGATTTTTTCAATCAGAGCATTTGTTATGTAACATTAATTGCAACATCCAGAGTGTAATTGTTCATTTCTCACTTCTTCCCCATTTTGTTGTTGTTAGGTGTCATCAAGTCCAGTATGAGAGATCTGAATCTCTAGGGAACTCTGGTGGCCTAGTAGCAAGAAGCTGCACTGCAATCCCAGAGGTGCATGGTTCAAGTCCACCAGATGCTCTGCTGGACAAGGGACAATCTTTTCCTGTACCAACCAGATCTGATTTGATGGTACACACACAAAAAAAATTTAAAAAAAAAAAAAAGAGCGATCTGAATCTCCTCCTGTCCTGCACCATCCTCACACTTCCTGACATACTAGAGCCCATCGGGGCAGTCACTGTGTCAGTTCACCTGGTTGAAGGTCTTCCTTTACTATCCCCCCCACCTTTCCAAACATGACGGTCTTCTCCAAGGAATAATCTGATATCCATTAATCATTAATCCTTATATCCTTTAAAAGGGTGAACTTCGTGGCATGTGACTTCCACCTCAATTTACCACAGACTTCTCAGGAAGAGTGCCACCTCGGTTCTCAGACCCGCTTCCTCACAGATGACATCATGGGGACACGTCCGTAAACATGCATGTGTATGATGGGGACACTCTGGAGTTTCCAGAACAGTCTAAGGCAGAAACCAGGAAACCTGTGTGCAAGAAGGAACGTGCCAAGCCTCGTAACCTGAAAACGTCTGCCCTCTCTGCACCGCTGGGCTTGTCACGTCTGTGCCGAGACCACAAACAGCCTGGTGAGCACACGGCAGGTGCAAGTGGCGACCAAGGGCCTGGCCAGTGCTCACGTCTGCAGGGCACACAGCCTGTGATGGCCTCCTAAGCTCCATAATGCTCAAAAGAGCTGGAGGCCACACCTGGGGCCTAGTGGGGACTCTGACCAAGGCTACAGGCATAGGGCACAGCCTGGCACTGCAGGGCACTCAGTGCCTGGCACAGAGTGCTCACTTGTCACCACTGTTGCCAAGCCCACAGGGAACAGGTGGTGGTGACAGATGCAGCCACATGGCCCTCAAGGGGTATGGGGACCAGGACAGGCCACCCCAGCTGCAGGTGTATCTTGCCCAGATGCTGCCGTGCTCAGCACAGTGGACAGCCACAGAGGCCTCTGGAATGCCCACGCTCCACAGCAGTCAGCCTGCAGCCACGCAGGTCACGCCATTTGCATCCCCTGCCAGGAGGTGTCAACAGAAGGTCACCTGAGCACATCCTGAGTGACCTGCTCCAGGGGAGCCTGCATCTGTCCCTAACGTTCTCCGTCCTGCTGCTGCCCACACAGAATGTCAGCAAGAGCACCAGGACTAACCTGCTTCCATCCTTGGTCCCAGGCCTTTAGCCTTCAGTCTCGAGCGGATAAATTCTTCCTTTTCCTGTAAGAAGAGGACGGACGTCACTCCTGTTCTGTTTTCCTTTCGCTAAGTCTGGACCTGGATTCCCGAGAAAGTCCTTTTCTAACCATAAGAACGTGGTCAAAGGTCTCAGGCTTAAAACAGGCCGGGAAGGCAAGGGGCTCCATACACAGTGGAGGCATGGTTCCCGTGAAAACCCGCAGGACCCCCACCCCACCCCAACGGCTGAACACGAAAGGTTCATGGGGCTGCCTTCTGGCTGGAACACACTCTGTCCCAAATGGTTGACCGGAGTTGACAAAGACGCAGCTAAGGAATCTGAATTCTCAGGAAGAAAAGCACATCCCTCAAGCCCCATTTTTCATCTCCATAAACCCATGTGTACACACACATGAAACCAGGTGTACAGACAACGGCGTGGTCCTGCCACTTGAGAACTATCTCACTGGACTCCTTCAGAGTCTCTGGATGTGTAACTGTACAACCACCACACCTCACACAACCCAGGAAGGCCAGACTGTCCGAGAGAAAACACAAGTGAACGAAACAGAGCTCTGGCGGGAAGGAGCTAAGCTGCCCAGGCACATGGTTCAAATCCACTAGCTGCTCTCGTGCACTTTCCTGCTTCAGAAAACCCCCTGGAGGGTCAGCTAGGAGTCAGTTCCGACTCCATGGCACACAACAAGATGAGAGACGGAAAAGGAACGGGCACCTGGTCAATGTGCAATCTCCCAAGTCCCAGAAAACAAGGCCACCCTGGAGAGCTTCAACTCCACCGGCTTCAATGTGCAGATGGGCTGTATTATTTATTTTGTTTTATTCTTTTTTGTGTGTATGTACCATCAAATCAGACCTGACTGGTACAGGAGGAGACTGTCCCTCCTTCGGCAGAGCATCTGGTGGATTCGAACCGGACTGTAGTGCAGCTTCTTGCCACTAGACCAGCAGAGATCACCTGTGCAGATGGGTTGTGACACCTCAGTCTTTCTCGGTGTCTTTCTCTCTCTCCCCACATACACACTGATAACCTAGCACCCCCAAGTGGTCAGTTACAGTAATTCACATGTGACCGGCTGTGGATTGTGACTCACAGCAAGACAGACCTTGAAGGCAAGTTCTCCCTCTGGGTTCATCTGTACAGAATTCCTCATACTTCTCTGACGGATGGCAGGCTGTCTGAGAGGCTCGAACCTCTGACTCTGTGATCAGCAGCCTAGCGCTTAACCACTGAACCACTAGGACTCTTTATTTTGTAAGAATTTTTAATTGTGATTTTAACGGAAGTTTACAGAAAAGTTGATTTTCATTCATTCATTGTTGCACATTCCCCCTTCTTCCTTCCCCAGTTTCCCTTTCTTTAAAAAAAAAATATATTCAAATTGCATTGGGAAAATCTGCTGTCAGAGACCTCTCCAGAGTACTGAAGAACAACAATGTCAGTCAAGAGATTAAGGTGTGCTTGATCCAGGCCATGGTCTTTGCAATTACGTTCTATCAGTAAGCTGGGCAATGACTAGGGTTGAGAGAAGGAGAACTGATGACTTTGGGCTGTGGTGCTGGAGAAGAATATTGAATACATTGTGGACTGTTAAGAGAATAAACAGATTCATCCTTGAGAGGGTGAAACCAGGCTGCTCTTGGAGGCAAAGATTCTGAGGCTCTGCCTGACATACTCTGGGCATGTTTCAAGGAGATACCAGTTCTTAGAGAGGGACATTAATGCTTTAAAGGGTGAAGGGACAGAGCAGTAGGGGAAGACCCTTGATGAGATGGATTGATTCAGTGACTGGGGTAAACTGGGGGGTATGTGTATTGGAGACGGTGAGGTTGGCTCAGGACAGAACAGTGTTCAGAGCTGTTTTAGGGTCGCTGGGCGTCACTGGCAACTTGAAGGCCCGTAACAACAAACAACATTCATTCACTGTTCATTCATTCATGCAATTACCTCCACCCCGCTTCCTTCCCTCTCCTCACCTTCCCCCTTCTTTCTCCTTCCCCCACCCCCATTCTTCTTTCTCTGTACTGCTGCCATACTCTTTTTAACTGTACCTTTCTAAAAGTCAAATTCTGGTCTGCCCAGAACTTTTGATTCCATTCTTGTGTTTCGAGTCTTAGCTCTCGCAGCTGTTGTTCCAGGGCTGATTCATCTTCAGGGCCGTAAAACTGAATAGGCCGCAGATTTGAGTACTTATCTGGGGGTCCTATCCAATCATGACGAGATGTCCTCGGTGGGCAGAACCTTGAGACCTTCAACAAACACGCAGGGTTAGCATAGCACCTGGGAGATTGGCCAGTGTTCTAAACCAGCAGCCCGGCCCTCAGCAACCCCCTTGTTACTTCCTCTTTTCAGACGAGATGCCTGGACAATGTCTTGGGATAAATATTAACATTATACCATGCATTTCCAACAGTCAGTGCTAAAACAAGCTGATACCTTACCAACCCCACAAAACAAACCAAATACAGCTCAACTCATCCCTCACACCACGAGAGGCAGATGGGAAAACTGGCTGCAAACTGCATAATGTCGAGAGGAAGACAGAGGAGAAAACCCTCTGCAACCTTAGATCAAAGCCTCCAGAGGTACCAAAGGCGAGGCACACAAAACAGAGAGTAAACCAGACGTCACCGAAGTTAACGATTTCTGCTGTCATAAAGACAGGGTTAAGGCAACCAAAGAGACACAGAGGTGAACATACATAAACACACTGAGCACGGCTAGGAAAAGGCCCACGCAAACCATGGAGAAATCCAATTTCAGATCTTTTAGAAAGGCTCAAACTTAAAAAAAAAAAAAATTTAAAGGAAGTTTACAGAGACTTAGGGTTTCCAGTCATTCATTGTTGTACTTTTCTGCCTGCCCACCCCCTTCCCCCCCAAATTCACTCTTCTCTTTGAAAAGTAAAAGAAAAACTCTTTCATTGTTATGCAATCCCTCCCCCCAAGTCGACTCCACTGTGCAGCCTTCACTCTGAACTCCTGTCATGACAGTAATACCCAATCACATATCCCTTGTAAACAGTTCTCTCCCTCATCTACTTCAATGCAGTATCATCATTCCTCCCCTCCTTCCCTCAACCCTGATGTCAGTCCCATTTCACAACAGTGGCCCTAGCATCCACCGTGCTGGGTACAGGCTGACCGAAGGAGCCACGTCCTCAGGCTACGTGCCAGATGTGTCTATTAAAGGACATTCTAGAGGAGACAAAATACAGCAGGAGAGGAAAGCCAGAAGTCCGCTTAGAAGCAAGGTCAGCAGGAGTGGACTCGCTCACTTGGGCATGCCATCGAGGGCCATCACTACAAGTGGGCATCGTGCTTGATAAAGCAGCGGGTCAGAGGACACCAGGTAGCCCTGGGTGGGACGGGGAACACACAGCCGTGACAAAGGACTCCAACGATGAACAATTATGAACTGGGAAGAATTCTGTCCTGTTTCGCCGGAGCCAGTGTCCGTGTTCCCAACTGGGATCTGACTTTTGTTCAAGTCCCTGGACTCAACCCTGGACAATGAAGCTGAAAAGCCACGTATGGGTGGGGAAAGGAACAGGCCTCTGCAGACAGCCTGGAAAGGCAGTTTGCGCACGTTCAGCCTCAGGGTGGTCTTCCCTAGCCAACCAGCACAAGGCAAAAGAGCTTGGTGTCACGGAAGGAGAAAATAATGCAAACTAGACACAGGCAAATATTACATCCCGATAGCATGTCCAACAGATAGTCAGAAGACATGCAAATAACCTCAAGGCCAGAATGCAGAAAAAGAGCAGGTGTGGGTTTTGAGTATCCACCACCTTTGTCTCTGATGTCATTTCATTTTAACCATATAATGTGGCTTTTAATAATGCTTGTCTTAAGCCGCAACAGCATTCCAGTGAAGAGATCCAAGCAGGGGCCAGCGATGCCCACGGGAGGTGTCCAGTTCACCTTCCTGTGTGGCAGGCAGGCCCTGCCCAGGTGATGTCCTGCTGAGCCTTCTGACGCACTCCTCCAGGGCTGAGACCCCATCCCAGTCTGGGGTTGTCTGTCTAAGATTCGTTCTGGTGACACCCACTTGTCGGGGCATTTTACCTTCGCTCCACTAGGAGACACCAAGGCCAGTGTGGCATGGCTGACCCAGAAGACTCTTCCAGCCACCGCTTCCCCATCATCTGCTAAAGCCTGCAGTGCAGCCCAGACACACTCACACCCTGGCCGGCGATAGAACCACTGCCTGCCAGGTAGAGGGGCTGCAGGTTTAGACCACAGTCCGGCCCAGGGCATCAGACCGCTGCCACCGCTGCCCTCCAGTGCCAGGAGGACCAGTATCACAGGGACCAGATAAGGATGGCCACTATCACCACTTCTATTCAACATTGTATTGGAAGTACATGCTAGGGTAATACAAGAGAAGGAAATAAAAGGCACCATATTGGCAAAGAGATGGTTAAACTATTGCTATATGCAGATGATATGATTAGTGTACACAGAAAACCCAAGGACTCAACAAAAAAACTGTCAGAGCTGGGAGACCAATTTAATAGAGTAGCATGATAGAAGATCAATATCCAAAAATCAGCAGGATTCTTCCACAGTAACAAAGAGAACTCAGAGAAGGGAACCAAGGAAGCCATTTACAATAGCCAACCACAACTGAGATACTCGGGAGTGAACCTAACCAGAGACACAAAAGCTCTGTACAAAGAAAACTACAGAACATTTCCATGAGATAAAATAAAAGACTTAAATGGAAAAATTTGCACTGTTCAAGGATGTTATTGTTGTTATGTCTCATTGAATCACCTGTGACTTACAACGACCCTAAACCCCGGTCTATCCTGTGACAATCTCACTGCCTCCAAAACACCTATCCCAATTACCCCAGACACTGAATCAATCCACCTCATCAGAGGTCTTCCTCTCCTGCGCTGTCCCTCCACCCTCCCATGACGTTCCTCTCCAAGGACTGGTCTCTCCTTGCAACATGTCCAAAGTATGTCAGACGAAGCTTCAGAATCCTTGACTCCAAGGAGGAACCTAGTTTAACTCTCTCCAGGATGAACATATTTATTCTCTTAGCAGTCCATGGTATATTCAATACTCTTCTCCAACACCACAGCTCAAAGACATTAATTCTCCTTCTATCATCCTTAGTCATTGTCCAGCTCTCTGATGCATAGCAAGTGATTGCAAAGACCATGGCCTGGATCAGGCGCTCCTTAGTCTCCAGACTGACACCATTGCTCTTCAGTACCTTGGAGAGGTCTCTGACAGCAGACTTTCCCATGGCAATATGTCTTTTAATTTCCTGGCTGCTGGTCCAAGAGTGTTGATTGTGAAGCCAAGCAAACTAAAGGTGTGAACAATCTTAGTCTCTTCACCATCTACAGGAAGACTCAATATTGTGAAAATGATAATCCTACCAAAACCAACATACATGTTCAACGCAATCCCAATACAGATACCAAATTCATGTTGCAAGGAGATTGAAAGGGGAAACTGTCAATTTATTTGTAAAGGAAAGAGACCCCAAATAAGCAAAGCAGGTATGAAAAACAAAAATAAAGTGGGAGGCATAGTACTCTTTGACCTCAAAACCTACTACACAGGGGTAGTAACCAAAACAGCATGGTATTGGCACAATGAAATGCATAAAGACCAGTGCAAGAGAACTGAAAACCTAGAAATGGACCCAGCGATCTGGGGTCAACTGATATTCAACAAGGAAATAAAACCTATCAAATGGAGAAATGGAAACTTCTTCAACAAATGGTGCTGGCAAAACTGGACTGCTGCCTGCAGAAAGCTGAAACAGGATTCACATTCACACTATACACAAAAATCAATTCAAGCTGGATCAGAGACCTGGGAATAAAGCCCAAAACCATAGAGTTCATCAGAGAAAACCTGGGATCGAGCCTAGACAGCCTAGTTAGTCTACAGTACAAAGAGCTTACCAAATACAGCCAGAAATGTACAATCTGGAGAGGATAGAACTGACAAATGGGGCCTTCTAAAGATTAAACTTGTGTGCATCAAAAACTTTTTCAACAGAGTGAAAAGAAAACCTGTCGACTGGGGAAAAAATATTTGGCAATATCATTTCAAACAAGGTCTCATATCAAAAGTTTACAGAATCCTACAGGGCCTCCAAAAGAAAAAGATAACACAATTACAAAATGTGGAGGGGGGGGACATGGAAAGACTTTTCACAAAGGAAGATAGTCAGATGGTCAACAGACACATGAAGAAATGCTGCAGATCACTGCAATAGAGAAACCATCTCACACCACTGGAGTGGCAAAGTGCAGCAGGGGATCAAGTAATAAATGTTGGAGAGGATGTGGAAAGATAGGAATTCTTACACGTTTTTGGTGGGATTGTAAAATGGTACAACCACTCTGGAAGGCAGTTTGGCATATCCTCAAAAAGCTGACCATATGACCGAGCTATTCCACTGCTTGGAATATACCCCAAGAAAATGAGAACTGAGGCACAGAGACTTGTACACCAATGGTCACAGCAGCGTTATTCACCATCACAAGAACATGGGAATAGTCCAAATGTCCAACCACAGTTGAATGGATTGATAAATTACAATTCGATGCAGCACACAGGAGCAATGATTTTGTAAATCACTACCTAAGCTGGGAGGGTCTGGAGAGCACTAGGCTAAGTGAACTCAGTTCCTTAAGGACAAATACTGTATAAAACCATTGCTGTAGAACATGTATGAGGATCCAAGGGGGGGCGGGAGGGAGCAGAGGGGTAATCATAGGGTCACACAATTTGATGGGTGGAAGGAGGGGTGGGTAAAGGAAATGGGAAAGATCTGGTGTGAAAAACAATGAATACAAACTTTGTGAGTAAACTAGTATAAAATAAAAATTTTATTTTAAAAAAGAAAGGAATTGAACTCTGAGGCCTTTATCATGGTAGTCAATTAATCTATCATCACTGTACTGCCCAGGTTTTAAAAGCGCTCTAAAATAATTTTTTTAAAGCCCTCTAAAAGCCCCCTGGTTCTCTGCCAATATCTGACTTGTCCCCACATGACTGGTGTCCATGTTTGGGATATCGTCACCAGCTGGAGAAGGTTCACAGAGTGAAGGGGCACCTGCAGTTGATGACCAAGCAAGATGATGACCAAGGCTGGCCTGGGCGTCCTCTGCAGGGACCTGGTCCACACACAGTGGACAACAGGGCCGCTCCAGCAGTAACTGTGCTGAAGAGGCCGAGGGCCTCTCCTGCGGTCACTCCGTGCAGTGACCCTG